TTACAGCTCAAAAGGATGCGGTGAGTCTGTGGGCCCAATCTCCAGCCTCTCTTCTCAGGCCACACACACAACCCCGGTGGAACAGAGCCCAAATGCAGCATTTTCCTTCCAGCTTCCTCCATTGCTGGCCCTACTTCTACAAGAGGACTTGGGACCCAGTCTCATACAGCTACACAACTGGGCTAGCCAAGCATGACAACGGAGTCAGTGCCAACGCTTGTGGAACTGTATGATGAACGGGACAGATGGCACAGGTGACCTGGGGTAGCAGGGGCCCCAGCCAGATCCCGGATAAAAACACACAGCAGCAGCTAGAAGGAGCAGGACTTTGGTTGTCTGGAAGGCAGACACGGGGCCCAGAGCAGAACCCCCTGAGCTCCACACACTGGAACAGGAAAGTACAAGCTGTGCCGAGGCATCGCCTTGACAGATAAGACTGAGCCCAGAGCCCAGCCCCTTTCCCCACCTCTCCCTGGGCTGGCTGGCTGGGGCTGCAGGGGAAAAGGCAACTGCACCTTGGCTGCTGTGCATTATGATTCGTAGGAGTGTCAGGCTCCATCTGTTTTCAAGACCATGAGAGGAGTGACCCATGGAGGGGACGTGGGAGAGTGCTGAGGGCCCGACTAACAGGACAGTTCTAGTCACTTTCGCAGGGCCAGCTACAAACTGGAATGGAGGCCAGTGACCCACCCAGGAATGTGGGAGAGAGAACTGAGAGCTCTCCAAGGTTCCCAGCATTCCCGGACACTCAAAACACGCCATGGCATGGCTGGTGCCAGACTACCTCACCTGGGAGACAAAGACCAGGTAGGTTCCAGGTTTCCCGGCACAGGCAACATCAGCCTATTTTCCAGTATTAGCTGTTACTAGGAACAAATTAACATAACCACTGCAGGGGAAAATGCCAAATTGTACAAAATACATATGCACTCATATGGGTCTTTGAAAAGGATCCATAACTAAAAGAATGGCACAGAACAAACACTGCCAAAAGGATTCCGCAACCAAAGCCATCAGAAGAGACAATCTAAAAAATGAGAGAGCCAGGTGGCCTGGCATAGGCCTGTAATCCTACCACTGGGAGAGGTGAAGGCAGCTTAAGTTCAAGGACGGCTTGGGCTGCAAAGGAGACCCTACCTCAAAAAACCATGGGCTGGGGACAGAGCTTGGCTAGGGATGGATATGCAAGGCCCTGGGCTCCATCCCCAGTACGATGGGGTGGGGGTGGAGGGTGGGAGTGGGGGGAGCAGTATTTCTGTAGTTCATAATCTGAAAAACCTCTCCAGGAAGTTTCATATCCACTTTTATCCTCATAGCAGTACACATTCAATTAATTACACCATTCAATACCAAGTATTCTGTATAGGTTTTGAAGAGTTCTTCAAACTGAAATGCTAAATGGCATCGAGAGGAAGGTAATGGGATCATTTACCCATTTTCCATTACTCCCCGCTAACTTCAGCACCACCCGACAGGATTCACTTCCTCCCAAAGCACAAACCTCTCCCTTACATACGAAGCAGAGTTCTTCCTTGCACAGATTCAACTTGTGCTCCCAGACAATCACAGAGGTCTTACACCATTTCCCAAGTGGCGACCAGACACCTAAAATTAGTTCACACAAAGAAGCAGGGCTGAACTAGAGCATGTCAGGCTACAGGGTCACGCACGATGACTGGAACGCCCCAATCTCCATGGCATTTCCGCTTGTCTTTTTGTTGTTGTTGTTTTTAATTGAAGTGAGTCATAGTATATAGATCTTTCTCCTCTGCATAAAATCCAGGGTTTTTTTTCTTCCTCCAAAGACAATGGTATTTAAATAAACATTATTGGAAGCTTTTTACTATTTGTCTTCTTAGAATGTAGTCTACATAGCAGCAGGAAATTTTAGTGCATTGTAACTACGCTGCAAGATGGTTTTAAACCCAGTCAGACACTAGACTGCATTTCACAATGAAGCTAGCTATAAAAGCAAATGCCAGCCGGAAGCATGGCCCATTTTACAAAGCCTGCCTGTAACCTGGACTAAACCGTGCCTCCCAGTCTCAGCTACTGGGGTATCTCCTTCACTCTGATGGACAGTCAAGTCATTCACATTGAAAAAGGTGGCCTGTGACAAAAACAAAACAAAACCAACAACAAAAAGCAAAACAAAACAAAGAATCTAGAGACAGAAGGCAGCGCACCTGTGAGGCATAGCCCCCGGCAGCTCAGGCCATGGGTGCTCACTCGCACCTCTCTGGGCACCTGCCTCTTGCTCACCAGCCCTTTTCCTCTACAGGCTCTCTTAGGACACAAGGCCAACTTCAACATGAGGCTCACTGACCTCAAACCAGACAATCTTACATCACTTACATACTAAAAACGATTTGAAAGCTGTCCACATATGCTGACAAAGCTGGCTTTTTATAGAGCCGGCTGTGTATTAGACCAACCCTACTTAGAAGCTTTACAGATTAAAAGCATGGCCACACTCACTTTATCAAACCCAGCCAGGAAAGATCTTTGCCTGAAACATTTGTTTTCTAAGCTGCCAGTTGTCAGCCCTCAAAATGTCCACTTGGCCCTTTGTTCTTTTCCCATTTGTTCCAAGTCTGTGCACCTTTTGTTCTAATTAGAGAAGTCAGAACGAGAAATGATTACACGGCACAGATGATGTGTAGTATTGTATTTGCAGCAGACAAAATGACTTTGTCTAAATCTGTCCCCATTTCGTTGTGCTATATTAACTTGCTAAACTTCCATTTTCTGCCAGTAGTAAACACATTTCTTTTAATTCTTGAAAAACAAATAATGAGTTTTGGTAACTAACTTCAGCTCACTCAAGGTCATTTTGAGTTGTTTAAATGGCACAATGGTAAGATAAAAAGCCAGTTTTAAGTTTAGAAAAGAGAAGAGCGAGCCAGACATGGCTCCCACCTGTGACCCTAGCTACTGATCTGAGGATCACAGTTCAAAGCCAGCCCCGGGCATGAAAGTCCACGAGACTCTTATCTTTAATAAACCACAAAAACCCCCGAAGTGGCCCTGTGGCTCAAGCGGTAGAATGCTCATCTTGACTGAAGAACTCAGGGACATCACCCAGGCCCAGAGTCCAAGCCCCACAACCGACAAAAAAAAAAAAAGAAAGAAACCACTTCAAGGAAAGTAGCAGTCCATTAAGCAGCTGGAGAAATCTTAACATCTTGATGTTTAAAAGGAGAGATTAAAGGATAATCAGGAAAATTAATTGAAGTTCAACCTGGCCCAAGCCACTGGCATTCTGAACAGTTACATTTGAGTGTCAGGTCAGACCACTCTGACCAGAAGCTCTAAGAAACTCCAATCAAACAAACCTTCTCTATGTCATAAACTTATTGTGATGGGCTAATTTCATGCAAAGATGCTCTGTGTTCTACCATATTGTTTGCTACTGGATACAGAAAATGTGTTCCTTTATTTCCAGTCACTGGTGGACTTCATTCGATGCTGGTCATGGAATACGAACATTACAGCGGCATTCGTCACGCTTATACGGATGAGTCTGTCAGAAGCTTATCTACCCAACAGCCAAGTGGAAAGAATCCTGACAAAGAGACTTGAAATCAAGGCCGCCAAGAAAAGGCTTTTGTTAGGCCAGCACACCAAAAAACTGCATATTTTTTCCCCTTGAAAAAAATTTCAAAATAGATTTCAATACTAAAGCAAATGGATCTCATAGTTTTCCTTTGGGGTCTAAAAGCTGGAAACAGAATAAACTGTCCTCTTCCTTGACACATGTAGCAAAACCTGTTTTTACAGGGCTTGTTGAAGATACCAAACAAGTGTGGTTTTGGCTAATCCTCACACCCCCGCAATGACATTTAATCAGGAGCACACATTTTCTTTAGAAGCTTGTGGAAGACCTCTTGGTGTTCTTAATCTGATGTTTTAAACACATGTGAAAAATTCTACCTTCCTAGCTATTTATTCGTACCACAACCCACCCCTTGATGAGACAAGATCAATCTCAGCGCTGGTAGAAGATGCCCAATTCAGAGAAGGTTAGCCGTGAAGGTTCCCTGCGCCTGGCCTGAAACAGGAGCAGGTGGACCAAGAGGGGTGAGTGCTGCAGGCCCCTGGCTGGAAGGCTAGCTAGCCTGTCACTCCGGCCCCCAAGCCCCCCCCCCCCCCCCTCAAAAAACAAGGGGGGGCGCCATAGGGGGAGGAGGCTGTCACCCTCCACCGTCTAGGATGCTATTCTGTTCACCGCACCTTCTCCCACCCCGAATTATGGAATTATGTGCGTCTGTGTCAGTCCTATTCCGTCCCAAGCTCTGCGGGAGATGGGGGTCCCGCTTGCCTCCTTCAACGAAGGCCACCTCCAGCGCCTCAGCACGGAATCGCTGACCAGCTCAAACCAATAAATGAATGAACAGGAAGGGGGAAGGGGACTGTCATCCTGGGGCCTCGAGCCGGGGGAGAGGAAACGTGATGGCGGTGGGGGGAGCCTTTCCCCCGGGAGACAAAGGAAGAGAGTCTGGGGTGGTCCTGTCCAGAAAAGGAAGTCGTGGGGGCGTTCAATCAACCTGGGGGACAAAGGGTGGACGGCAGGGGGCGGGGCCGGGAGCCGGGACTCCTCCGGGCTGCAGAGGTCACCGAGGCTGGAGGGTACCGGGAAGTGGGGCTGAGGGGGTGCGGGGCCCGGAGGGCACTGGGGAGCGGGACCCAGGGGGTGCGGGGCCCAGAGGGCGCCCTGGGGACTCAGCTAAGAGGTGCGGGGCTCGGGGTCGGAAGACACCGGGAAGTGGGGCGCAAAGGGATGCGGCCCCGGAGGGGATGCGGAGCGGAGCGGGTGCTCAAAGAGGTGCGGGCCCCCGGCGGGGGACAAAGACGGCGGCGGCCGGCGCCGCGGAGGGCTCGAGTCCCCCCGCCGGAGCGCCGAGGCGGAGGGCGTGACCCGAGGGAGAACGGGCCGGGCCTAAGGAGCAGGAAGGAGGCAGCGGCCTAGGCGAGGGCCCGCGCGGCCCGGCGCTCCGTACCTGGTAAATGGCCGCCCAGCTCCCGGCCTTGTCGATCTGCTCGAACTCCTTCTCCATCTCCATGGCGGACCAGTGCGGCAACTGCGCACCTCCTCGACCCTACCCGCTGTCGGCCGCTCTAGGCCGCGTCGCGCTCCGGAGCCCCGAGGCCCACCGTCAGCCTCAACTCCCGCCGCTACCGCCGCCCTCGCCGCAGCCGCCGGCGCCGCCGCCGCTTCTTCATGTCAACCCGGCAGCCGGAAGTGCGCACCCCGCCCGCCTCAGGCCCCGCCCCATATACGGGAGAGCCAATCAGCGCTCGAGGATCTTAAGAAGCACTTCCGCGGGGCGGAGCCTGGGGTGGGGCTGAAGGGAAACGGTCCCGGCCCCGCGAGACGTCTCGCTGCGCGCGCGTTCCTCGGCCCCCTAAGGGGGGGGGGCGGGAACCCGCGCGCGGGCGTGGCGCGCGCCGTTGCCTAGGCGACCCCGAGTGCCCACCCTCGGCGCCGCACTCGCGCCGCGCTCGCGCCGCGCGCCGCAGAGTTCAATCCCGGACCGGAGAAGTTGAGTCGGGGCGAATGAGAGGACTGGGCAGGCAGCGCCGAGGCCCCGCGCCGGGCTCCAGCTGGGCAGCAGGCCCTCGCCGTCCCGCAGCTCGGGAGAGCTTCCCGGGCACCGGGGGGCCGTGTCACAGTCACCTGGGGATGCGCGGCGTGAGGCGGTCTGGACACCTCCGAAGGCCCCCGCGGCGTCCATCTGCTCCCCACCGGCATCCCCAGCCAACTGCACTTCCGGTGATCTTGCGGCTCCCGTGGGGAGGAAGGTGAGACTGCCCTGCTCCGGCTCCACGGCCCCCAGCCCGTTCCCCGCGGCCTGGGCCCGTCAGGCCGAGTTCCGTGCAGACCACGGCCGAGTGCGCCCCGCAGCCCAGGCCTGCGCCCCCTTGCCCCTGGCGACGAGCCTCCCGTTACCCAGGCGAGACCCGGATGCCCGCGAAGGCCAGCCCCCTCTCCGGCGTGGCCCCGCGACGGCTGGTCGCGCTGTCTCTGGTTTCTCCTTGGTAGAAGATGATAAAGGTGCCCCGCTGAGGAGGATGTGTGAACGCTGGTGAGCTCACCCGCACCTTAGTGCCCTCAACCAGAGGCCGAGGACCTGAGATCTTACTTAATAAGTACAATTGGTTTGACAGGCAAATGTTGCATGGGGGAATGATCAGATGTGGCCTGTTGTGGGGAAGATCTTGGGTGACTCCAGCCTTAATTTATGCCTGATGCTGTGGCTCATGCTTGTAACCCTAGCTACCCTGAAGGCTAAGATCTGAGGATCAAAGCTCAAAGCCAGCCTGGGCAAAGACTCTTATCTCCAATGAACCACCAAAAAGCCTGAAGCAGAGCTGTGGCTCAAGTGGTAGAGAGCTAAGAGACAGCACCCAGGCCCTGAGTGAAAGCTCCTTCTTTGATAGAAAACGCTGAGAGCAGGAAGAGAGCTTGACATCTGCACTTGCATTTTGCACCTGTCTCCTTTGCCCTGAGTCTCTTTCCTGCAATTGCCCTGGGGTCCAAGAAGGACAGGACCACAATGAGCAACTTCAGCCACCTGTAAGGAATAGCAGAGCCCTGGGGACAGACGGCTCTCCAAGGAGGGACGATTTCCTGCAATGACAAGGCTACACCTGCAGCAAAAGTCATCTCAGGGAACCAGATTGCTTCTCACAAGCAAGAGAAGAACCTGGGAAACCCCTGAAAGAGCCAGCACTGAGATCCAGTCAACCAGGCCTCGCTTTACCAGGATTGCTCAATTGTGCCACTTCCCTTCCCCTCCCTGTATTTACACCTAAAGCTCATGTCAGTACCAGAGATAGTCTCTCCATCTTCCCTCCTCTCTCTGGCCCTCACCACTCCTGGTGGGCCACTGGCTAGGCCTGATATGTTGGAAGTCCTGGAGTGGGGCCTCTGGCCTAGGCTAGGACTCCCACTTCCAAAACATCATTAAAATATTAATCCTGAATAAAATACCTAATCTCAGGTGCCCATACACCTGTACTCAGCATATAGAATGTTTTTGCCCTGTCCTGGAGAAAACCTCCAAGACCATCCCCATCTTTCTAGAATTCCAATCCCAGCTCCCAAGCCCCCTTGACCCACCCCTGCCTGCTCCCACTACACAAACTGTGTCCTTCACCTACACTTCTCCACTTTCCACCTCAGGACCTTTGCACCAGCTGGTCTGTCCCCTCCCCCCTCCAGTGATTCACTCTACCAGAAGATCTCCTTGCCTCTCCTGTCTCAGGCCAGGTATCACCTCCCCAGGCAGGTTCCATGTAAAACAGCTCTCGCTCTTTCTCTCCCACAGCCCTGGCCACTTGTATCATAGCACTGAACTCTATGTACACATGCATGGATGTGTATACCTGTGCATTAGATACATACACACACATACTCACACATAGTGCTAGTACTAGAGCTTGAACTCAGGGCTTTGCTCTCTTGCTTGGCTTCTCCCTATCCCAAGGCTGGCACTCCACCACTTCCAGCTCTTTGGTGGTAAATTGGAGAAAAGTGTGTCATAGACTTTTCAGCCTGGACTGGCTTTGGACAGAGATCTTCATATCTCGGCCTCCTGAGAAGCTAGGATTGCAGGCGTGAGCCACGAAGGCCTGGCTTCTCTTATTTTCTGGCTTATTCTCTATGCCTGTCCTGCCTCATGTTCTAGAAGGGTGTTTTGCCGGTGACTTGCTCCCATCCCACACACCTGACATTTGGTTGGGAGGAAGGATGTGGCGCTAAGACTTGGCTTTCCTACTTGACCCCCAGGTTGCCTGCCCTGCTGGCCAGAGCCTGCCTCGCCCTCGGGGTGCCCATGGCAGCGAGGCCGCGCCTGGGAATCCTGACGCCTGGTTGAGGGTGGTGACTGTTGCATGGGGCTGGAAGCTTTGCCAAGGGGGCAAGCCTGAAAAAATGGTCTTGAAAGACTTCTCAGCCTTTCTCTCAGGGGTTTAGCTAGCTGGGAAGATCAATGACAAATCTATAACTAGTTAAACTTTTTTAATGTCCTCAGAGCTGTGGCCCACAGCTGTTGTCTGGTCTCCTGGGCATCAGCGCCCTGCCAGGCACTGCCAGCAAGCCGTCTAGACGCAGTGGGCTCTGGTCTTGGTAGTTGGCTCCTTGGTACCATACAGTCCTGGGAAGTGCACAGTGCTCAGGTCTTGGATCCGGAGAGGCCAAACTGCGGCCCAGGGGCCCCGCCAGCCCTCCCCATACACAGTGGCCATCACCCTATCCCTTTTCCTTTTGTTTTGTTTCTGCTAGTATTGGGGTTGAACTCAGGGCCTAGACATTGTTTTTTTTGGCTTTTTGGGTTTTGTTGTTGTTGTTGTTTTGCCAATCCTGGGGCTTGAACTCAGGACCTTGGCACTGTCCCTGAGCTTCTTTTGCTTAAGGCTAGTGCTCTACCACTTGAGCCACAGCACCACTTCTGACTTTTTCTGCTTATGTGGTACAGAGGAATCAAACCAGAGCTTCATGCATGCTAGGCGAGCGCTCTACCACTGAGCCACATCCCAGCTCTGTCTCTTAGTTTTTTCACTTAGGTTGGTGCTCTGCCATTTGAACCACAGCTCCACTTATTGCTTTTTGGTGATTAATTGGAGATGGGAGTCTTGAAACTGTGATCCTCAGATCTCAGCCTCCTGAGTTGAGTTCCACCTTCCCCCAGTTCACCAGTCTTTTGATGAATTTCTTTCTAGGTAGCTAGTTTTATATTTGTTGATGAGTTTCTTTTTTTATATCGTTATTGTAAAGGTGATGAACAGGGGTGTTACAGTTGCATAAGTTGTTTATGAGTCACAACTACTAAATGTAAACTTTATAGGAGAAAGAGCGAGAGAAGTTACTTTGGTGCCATTCTGTCTTCCATGAGCTTTGGGTCATTCCCAGAGCACCTCCAATCTTTGGAAGGTTCTAGAAGTTGCTTCTTTGCAACTTGCAAGTAGACTGAGCTGGAAGGTCCTCAGAGCTCTCCTGCCAGCACCAAGGACAGCCAGGCCAGGGAGTGGGGGAGGGGATTGGGGGGGGGAAGGAGAGGAGAGCTTCTCTCTGAGATGGAGACATACTCTCCTGGCAGAGGGAGGCTGCCTGGACTGGTTGGCCAATCTAGGGGAGCAAAAGACACCCCTGAAAATGGACAAGCCAATAGACAGAGTCAGGCCAAATCACTAGAAGCCAGAAACACGGGGACCCCAACTAAACTCCAGGGTTTTCTCCAACAGCCCTGCCAGAGGCGGGAACCCCTTTCACAGACAAGGCAGTGGAGGCTGGTCTGGAGGGAGGGGCATTGAGGCGGGGAGCACAGAGCTTCTAAGGCCTGGCCCTACTGTCCCCCACCTCACAGGCTTGGGGCAAGTTGCTTGACCTCTTCTGTCCACCTCGACGCCTTCCTATGAGAAAACCCAACTGAAAGTGGTTTTTGCAAAATGGGAAATTTACTAGCTGAGGAAAATGGGAAGTCTTCAGGTCTTGCTTCAGGCCCAGTCTGATCTAGGGCTGGAGCAATGTCATCATGACTCGGGCTCTTTCCAGCTCACTTATCGGCTTCCTCTGTGCTGGCTGCACTCCAGGCCGGCTCTCCTCCTCCAGATAACCAGGGCTGCCCAGGCACAAAACCTCTTTCCCCTGGGGGCAGGAGTGGAGGTCCCAGCCTGTGTCCTGGCCTTGGGTCTCGTTGGCCTAATGAGGCACACATGCCATCTCTAAGCCAGTCTATCCAGAGGAGAGCCTGGCAAATAGACCAAGAAGCCAGGCCTCTGTTTGGTCTCAGCCTCTGTGTCCTCAAGCTGGAGGCTGTACAGACTTCCCATGAGTTCCCACAGGAACCGGGCACTGGTAGCTCACACCTATAATCCCAGCTACTCAAGAGGCTGAGATCCGAGGGTTGTGGTCCAAAGCCAGCCCAGGCAAAGTCTATGAGACTCTTATTTCTAATTAACTACCAACAAGCCGCAAGTGGTGCTGTAGCTCACGTGGTAGAGCACCAGCCTTGAACAGAAAAAGCTAAAGGGTAGTGCTTAGGCCCTGAGTTCAAGCCCCAGCACTGGCACAAAGAAACCCAAAACTGTTTTCTTTACTATTTTTTTTTTTTTGGGTCCGGTCATGGGGCCTGAACTCTGGGCCTGGGCGCTGTCCCTCAGCTCTTCAGCTCAAGACTAGCGCTCTACCACTTGAGCCACAGC